TTGTAAAACAGCTGAACGATCTTCTGCAGAGAATTGGTTTGTTTGAAGAGTTTCAGACAGGTTTCAGAGCTCATCATAGTACAGAAACAGCTTTAGTGAAGGTTACAAATGATCTTCTTATGGCCTCTGACAGTGGAGCCATTTCTGTGATTGTTTTGCTACACCTCAGTGCAGCATCTCATACTGCTGTCCATAATATTTTATTGCAGCAATTGAAGCGTGCTGTAGATATTGAAGATGCTGTGCTGCAGTGGTTTGAATCATATCTTTCTAATCTAATAGAGTCCATTATGTTCATCTAAATGGAGAGTCCTCTTCACACACTAAGCTTAATTATGGAGTTCCACAGGGCTCCATGCTAGGACCAATTTTGTTTACATTATACATGCTTCTCTTAGACAGTATCATTAGAAGGCATAGCATACATTTTCACTGCTATGCAGATGACACCCAACTTTATGTATCCATAAAGCCAGATAAGACACACCAATTAGTTAAACTGCAGGAATGCCAGGAAAGACATGAGGACCTAAATGAGCTCTCATTTCCTGCTAAATTCAGATAAAACTGAGGTTATTGTACTCAGCCATAAAAAAAGAAATGGCATTGAAATATCGTACCTAACCAGATGCTTACTCTGGATGGCATTACCTTGGCCACCAGTAACACTGTGAGGATTCTTTGAGTAATTTTTGACCATGATATTACCTTCAATGTGAATATTAAACAAATATGTAGGACTGCTTTCTTCCATTTGTACAATATCGCTAAAATTAGAAATATCCTGTTTCAGACTGAAGCTGAAAAACTAGTTTATACATTTATTGCTTCTAGGCAGGATTTCCAAACAAACTACCTGAAAAGTCTTTAGTTGATCCAAAATGCCAAAGCAAGAGTACTAACAGGAACAGAAAGAGAGACCATATTTCTGTCTTTCTATATATATGTTAAATCCAGAACTGAATTCACATTCTTGAATAATCAGGTCGCATCTTGTCGTAATGACTTTATAGTACTGTAGCCCCCGATTAGAGCACTAGATTTTATTTCTTTGCACGTGTTGATTGGATGAGTTGTTACATCTGGTGAGAATTTCATGTAAATAGCACCTTTAGAAATATATTTAATTTGTAAACTGGTGACATGTTCAATACTTATTTTACTTACTGTATATTTTTGTGTATATGTATTGTACTAGATATTGAACAAGTGGCCAGAAACACAATCCTCGATAAATGTTCATTTTTCTAACCACTACAGGTAAATTATTTTTAATTTGTGTTCTCAAAACTTCAGCTACGAAGAGCCTTACGGAAGGCAACGTTCCACATGGAGGAAAAAAGTTATTCATTTGATCACCATGGTGACCTCAACTCTGGATATGATATCATCCTGTGGAAGCAGACTCAAGATTCTCTAGATGTGAACAACATTTTAGCCTACTACAGTATAGAACACCAGAACCTGACTTTCACCTCACAGGAAACACAACAGGCTCTTCAGAGACACATAGTAAGTGTTTACCTTCCACAGGCAAGTTATTTTATTCTTTACACCATTCTTTTATCATTGGTACTGGGTTCCATTATAATTTGTGTTTGTGGCTAAATAGCAAATATTGATATGCTAACATGCTAACTTAAGAGTTTGCACATGGTAAAAACTGCCATCATTGAGACTTTAGTCTCTTTTTCTGTTGATTATGTATATGTTAGTGTGTAAAAACATGCAAAGCCTTGTGTCTAAGAACAGATGGTATATGCCACACTGATTTAAAAATAAAAGGGTGGGGGTGGGGTGGGGTATGATTGCATATGGTCAGTAAATAAAATTGACGACCATGATGGTGATTCTTTCCTCTCTAAGGGAAATGTGACTTCCAGGTGCACAGACAGCTGTAGGCCTGGCTACAGGAAGACTTCAGTTACAGGCCAGCCTGGTTGCTGCTATCAGTGTGAACCCTGTGCTGAGAACCAATATTCCAACACCAACGGTATGTGTTACGAAAAAAAAACACCCTAACTCCATTTGTGTTGCAAACTACAAAATATTATGAAAACAAGTGTTTTGAAATGCTTATATTACACAGTCTGTTGCATTGACAGCTCAAGGAATTTGAATCCATGTTACATATTCTAATGACCTTTTGTCCTCTGTTTCCAGATTCTGAGACATGCCATCCTTGCAAAGAAAACTATTACTCCAAAAACACCAGTTCAGTGTGTTTACCCAGAAAAACTGATTTTCTGAAATGGGGTGATGTATATCTTATTGTGCTGCTGTCTTTTACTTCTTTAGGAGCAGTGCTTACCATTGTTGTTGGGATCATCTTCCTTGCACACTGGAATACCCCTGTTGTGCGCTCATCTGTAGGCCCCCTCTGCATCATTCTTCTCCTCTCCCTTATGATCACATTTACTAGTGTTATATTATTTGGTGGTCAACCCAATAGCTCTCAGTGCCAAGCACGGCAGGTGGTGTTTGGCTTAAGTTTTACCTTGTGTGTCTCCTGCATCATGGTCAAGTCCTTTAAGATCGTCTTAGCCTTTGAGTTTGACCCGGTCATTCAAAGTGTGCTGAAGAAACTCTACAAGCCATACCTCATTATTGCAGTCTGCATGGCAGGTCAAGTGGTTATTGTTACAACGTGGCTTATACACAGTCCTCCAAACACTGACTCAGAGATCACACAGAAAAACATGAAACTGATATTTTGTAATGAGAAACTAATTCCTGCATTTGGAGCCATGCTAGCCTATATTGGCCTTTTGGCTCTCATCTGCTTTGGTGTTGCTTTTAAGGGACGAAAGTTGCCTGACAGTTACAATGATGCAAAGTTCATCACTTTTGCAATGCTCATTTACTTCATCTCCTGGATCATGTTTGGCCCAGTCTATGTCAATGTCACAGGCAAATATCTTCCAGCAGTGGAGATGATCGTTATCCTCATCTCATGCTACGGCATCTTGTTTTGTCAATTTTTCACAAAGTGCTACATTATTCTGTGTAAGAAGGAAGCAAACACAGAGAAAGCGTTCCGTTGCAATATTAGGAATTATTCCATGAATCACAAAGGCAGTGAGGATGAGCTGTCATCCAACAGAGTTGAAAACCCTACTTTATCTGCATCAGTTGAGTCACAGCATAACTGGAATTCAGTCACACCGCCCTGTGTTTCCTCAAACTCTCTCTTTCCAGTCTCAAACTCATGGAATAATGTCCTTGAAAACAACCTGAAATCCACTAAGAAGACCCTACAGAGATACAATAGCTTGCCACCATCACTAATCAAATGATTCACAATAGTTAAAAAGGTATTCAAGCAATTGGAGTGTAAAGGGGACAAAATATTAGAGTCTATGCATTTTTAAGTCTTTAAAGTTGTTTATCAAGTTGTTGAACATCTTTATCGCCATCTTGTGCCAGTACAGAATGTGACATCATCAGGTTGGTTGGCTGGTTGCATAGACTTACATTAATTTATGTTAGCTAACTAGTGACAGAACCAATAGTTTCGTGAAAATTAAGGAGACTAAAACTAAAAAACAGTCTAAGGGGATCACTTTTGTTCTGCCCCTGGCTGCAGCAGGCAGTTTTATGTAAAATAAAATAAATAGAAAGAAAGAAAGAAAATCCACCTGTTAGC